AAAACACTTTGACAGGTAAGATCAAAATTGCCCTCCCCATTTGTTCTTTTTCTACCTCTTTTTAAGGTCTTCTCTGTGGTTTTAAAATGGTGAAAGTGTATTTTCCCTAGTGATCCTACTTGCTTCTGATTCCTTTCTTCCTTCTTTTTCCAATGACCCCATGTCCTTGGTTCTATTTTTCCTGACAGAGGGTTGCTATTTAAAATCATTCTGAAAATGATGCCAATTTTTAGTATTCTTTCACAGTAGTTATCTTTTCACATTGAATTGGTTTATTTCTGTAATGTGTCTATTTTTGAGGGTGAGGGGAAGGAAAAAAGAATATCCCAATATGGTTATTGTGATAATAATCTTCTCCCTTTATAATGCCTGTTTTTGGATTAAGCACATTGTCATATAAATTGTTAGTTATATTTTAATTACATATATATTTCTTATTTTTCTTATAATGCTTGCAAGAGTTATACATATTACTTATCAGCAATTTATAAATTATTGCAAGTTACATAATAATTTTCCTCCCTCACAACTGTGGATAAAAGCAAGCGCATGCCTAGTATGTGGGTTGAAGTGCGTTCTGGTATTTACATTGTCTTTCTCTTAAGGTATCTGGTCTGAGAGAGGCAAGTCCTAAGCATGTGGTACAAAGTTAACAGCATTATTTAGCAATCCTTCTACTTCGGTTTCACCAAAGAATTCTCTATTTTATATTGTATAGCTATACCTTACAATTATCCCTCAAAGATCCCACATGGAATCACAGCTATATTAAATCATAGCATTGTATCAACAGAGAGGTAGTTGAGAAGTTTATAACATATATTTCCCTCTTCTTCTGCTGTGGCCTATTTAGGAAATTGTTGTGAAAGACACAATAATACTTTGTGCTTCTCTAACATTTCACCACAGGATTTCAAAATGATTTGGAAGACAGAGATATAATTATAGGGAAGTTGAGCATGGAGAGGGAAGTGATTTGCCAGAGTCACATACAGCACAAGTTGCAGAAGGGACTAGTAAACACGCTTCAACAAACACAAGTGGATAAAAACATTTGTTCCTTGGGGAAGAGAAGGACAGAAGAGATGACAAGCAAGTTTGTTTGCGTTTACGACTATTTTTCAATGGGCTTTTGTTTCGAATACAGAAAAATGTTCATTTCAACTGCTGGAAACTATTCCATCACCTAAGAATGTAATTATCAGGGAGTTCTGGGCCCTGTGTCTGTGCTTTATTACATTCAGTACTTAGGCATCTAAATTCTCACAAGCTTCTGTGAGCTTGAAGTCAGCAGGGCTCCTCTGATTCTTCTTACCTGAGGATCTAGCACTGATAGAGAATAGCAACTTATTTAAGTTTTGGTTACATTGCCCTGTATTTTTAGGAAGGTGAAGCAATGGAAGGGTCTTACATGTTAGCCAACGAGCCAGCCAGCCAACCCTCAATCGGAATGATATTAACATTTTCTTTTCCTTAATTTCAGCCCACTGTTCTCTGCCACTTCTGTCATCTTAAACTCTGGTATCTGGGAGTTTACTCCCTTAAAATAAATGCATATCTTTTCATGGCTCGTTCTGTCACTGCTTCCCAGTCAAGGTTAGCACAGTGAGGTTTTTTAATCTCTCCACTCAAATCAGGCCCTCTGGCTACCTATTTTTGTTGTTATGTTTCCGCAGCTTTGTACAGTTTGTCTACAAATACACAGAATTCAATGCCATAGCGTAGGTGCAGTTGCACTCATGCTATGTAAAAGGGATATATTCCTATCTTGATGCAGTGATGCTGCATAAAAAGCAAAACGACTGCATTTTTTAATGTTTGGAGCCATATATTGTAAACTTAAACTTCTGTTTGGTTTGTTACTTACTGTTTCTTTTGGAATTCCTGCTCTTGGGAGTTCTTCGCAGTGAAGCTCTGGTTCAGATTATTTTTTTCTTTGAATTGAGCTCTATTTGTCAAGAATTAGTCTGTTTTAATTGTCTGCTGATGTTTTTAATAATATCCTTTGTCACTATTTTACGCTTAATTAATAGAAATGGCAGAATTGTCTCACTCACATGCTGCACTGTTTACTTGCTCCTGCAATTCTTTAAAGGAGAGGAATAACTGCAGCTTCCTCTGGATTCATCTTTGTGAAGGCTTTAAATAAGACCGTTCCTAACACTGGCCCTTTGGTGTCAATTTGCCAAAGTTCCCATCTTCCCCTGTAGTCTAGGGTTTGGACTGTCTGAATCGGCTTTCCGTTCAAATTAGTACTTTGAAATCAACCGAGATTAACTGTTTAATCAAAGTTTCTTGCATTGCCGACCCTGTATATTAAAATGTCAAGTCACACCACAGAGGTATGGTATCGCTTTACCAGCGATCTCCAGTGAAAGTCTGTGCGCTTTTAAATGCGACACAGAAGCCAGAAGGCACGTAAGACAATTGTCCAAGTGCTAATTTCTGCTCATGCAGGCTGTGACCCTAGCCCTTTTTTAGGATAACTGAGATTCTTACACGATCAGCTGTCTGCAGACACCAGGTACCAGAACACTTGCCATGAAACGGAGGGGAAAAAACATCAGACGCTTCTCATAGATACCAGCATGTATAGTGGGCAGAGGAGCTGGGAATGAGATGCTTCAGCAGCTGCGAGTTTGTGAGCGGTGCGCGGCAAAGGGGGACGGGGCAGGGGAAGGGTCTCTGCCATTCGCCTCGGCTGCAGAGGCAGCCGGCGCAAGTTGGGAAGGGGCCGCCA